TGTTTCATTTAAGTATTCTCCTTATCAGAATTTTTTATTGCACATCAGAAAATAGTTCGCTATCCATGTAGTTTTTCCCTCTTTTCTTAGATTTTCATTAACAAAACAATCACATGGGAACGGAAAAAGACTGCGGGTTTTGCCCCAAAACAACGGCACCCGCATGGGGCGCTGTAAGTGGCTTGTGTCATGGGAAATTAGCGAAATGATTTTATGATTTGTAGCAATGGTTGCGAGGGCTCCTAGCGGCTCAGTTTTGCGCTAAAATGGTTTATAATTGAGTTGAGAAAAATGAAACTGGACACTGAGTTAAAACTAAAATCAACGAGCGCTTGACCTTATTTTGTGGTGTAGTTAAATTATTAGATGAAATCGACGATCGCAATTTTGTAATAAAAATGATCTTCAGCAAATAGTCCACTATCCCAAATTTTTATTAATAAATTGAGTTAGAATGGTATTTAATCCGTGTTGTTTGTGCAGCACAAGTCCAGACGAGAGTGAGGAGGTGGTTGCCATGATTGACATGCCGAGTGGCAGGGGCGTGGAGCTCCGGCGGCTCTAACCTATTTTATTTATTGATTACTTTGACTTGCCTTGCTTTGCCTTGAACCTATTCTGTACCACCTCAACTTTTGCGGTTCTTTTTGTATCCTAACATGTATAATTCTTCGAATGTGTTTATGTGTTGTTTCAAGTTAAGGTTCGTATAATTCATCTACTAATCTGTGTAATTAAGCACGTCAGACTACTGCTATATAATAAAACTGCGTAACTCACTGGTTCGCCTAAATTTGATTTAAAATAAAGCTTCGTTTTTAAGTAATATTTTTCTACAATACACGAATCTGTCAATTGCACTTTTTCTATTTAGTTGTCATTCTGGTTTCATCTTCAGGGCGCGATCTAAAATTTAAATCTTTCATGCATGCAATCTCTGAATAAATTGATAACATACCAAAACTTAAAAAATAGTTGAAAGTACTAATGTTTTGTTACATAATAAATCTAAATTACAGGTAATCAATATTAAGTTGAATTAAATATTTTAAATTTTATCACCTAAAACTTAAAATTGAATCCTGGGTTGACTTATATTTAAAAAATCCAATCGACACTTTATTAGAATAAAATATTAAATGCAGTCATTCGTGAAGCATATCATCATCAGTAACAACTTAATGCTCTTTAGCGATGTTGGCTTTGATGTCAGCACATCGCCGTGCCAAAAGATATAATGTGGTTAATTCACTCGCACTGCCGGCTAGTTTTTTATTTTCAGTCATAGTCTCGGTCTTTCATTTTGTTCAGTTATGAAAGGAAAGTAAGAATGCCCTCTTCCCATAATATATTTTCTTTCTGATCGCAGATGTGAAATTTCAAACGATTATGAAATTACTGATCAAACTTCTTTCAACGAAGCCTTAAATTCGTGACGATCAAAGTTTACAAAATTAAATATTTTAATCGTCAGAATTATATTTATCTCGCCTGAGACGGGCCACTGGGTGTTTTAATAATCGCTTAAATAACTCTCACCATTTGATCCTATGGCCGAAATTCATTTTTTTTTCTCTATAGAATGACTCTATTTGACGCGCTGGTCATGAATTGAAGAGCGACGCTCAAAACCTCTCAGGAAAAAGCAGAACTTTTCACGTTTAATCAGTGAGTTTTGGAGGAGTTCTCAATATGAATGCCGATGATTGAGAGCGAGCGTCATCGCATCTGTCCGAAGCGCGTGCATCAGCAAAATTGTTCAGAACTCGGCGATAATTCGAAGCTTGCGTGAATTTCGGGCCGATTGAAAGACGGTCACCTTTCAGGAAGGAAAGATTTTGGTCGGACTGACAGATTTGAGGGGAAATATTTAATATAAAAGTGTCAGGGCATTTCAGTGAACTGGATATATTGGGGGATTCATTTATGCTTACGGGAGGAAATTTCAAAAAGTTTTTTTTAACTAAGGTTGAAAATACTACAGACAAAGTCATCCATTTTTTTAATTCAAACGTGGATTGTTAGGAGAACATTGGGACAGAAATATTGTGTTCTATCGCCTGCACGGAAATTCCACCACCGTCTGGTTGTGTGTCCAAAAAAGATATCATTTAAGGGGATCGACCTGGCTAAAATCGATCAATTTTCGCTTTTCCGGTTTTTCTACTCATCTTAAAGCTGGAATTCTGCTCTTTCAAATGGTACCACTGCCATCTCTCTACGGGAATATTTACGTTCATAACGGCTCTTTAAACGGAGGCGGGTGGGAGAGTTCTTTAAGAAATTAGATACAAAGTAAATAAATGCTGAAATCTTTGAATATAGTTTCTACCTGAGTTGTGCTGCAGTTACTTGCTTAGTTTCATCCTAAAGCTGACATTCTGAGCTTTAAAATGATACTACTGCGATATGTAGGCCAAAATTGACGCACATGGCCGCCCTTTAAGGGGGGGCGGGGGGTGGGGTTCCTTAACATTATAGCCCTGCTAAAATTACGGCGCCATGACTACATAAATAGCAGTATCTGGCAACTGGCTTCAGTCACCCTCCTAACTTCGTACGGAGAGGTGCGCTACAAGTTGCTGCTGGCTTCCTTGAGTGGACTAAGCTTCAGAAGCCAGCAGTTCGGAAGCCTTGCTACATTGAGTGCCTATTTCGAGGCGCGCGGGACTTTGTCGCGCTCTCCTCAACATTCACACTTATTGTCACGGAAAACCTATCTCCTCCTAGAGTTTTCAAGCTACAGCAATGAGACATATACCGTTCGATTCGTAAAGACCAGGCCTATCGACTCCATCATTCCTTTTTTTGAATTTCGGTCTGGTTCGTTTTTTATATGGGGAAGAAGGGGGCGGGGAGGGGTGAAAAATGTAAAAATGTGTAAAAATGGGAAAAAACGTCATAAAAAAAACTAGGTGGAAAATGAAAAAAAGGAATGATAGAGTCGATAGATATGGTCTTTACGAATCGTCATGATGTTGTAGGATGATATTTGTGGGAGGAGATAGATTTTCTGAAGTACTCTGAAGTACCCCTTTTTAGCCGTTTTCTATGAATTTCACGTTTTCTATCAATTTTTTCGAAAAATTCATAGGAGCAAAATGTTTCTATTTTCACATTTTACGTATGTATGTGAAGTTTCATGACAATCGGATAATAACTGTAGAAGTTTTCAAAATGCCAGGTCGATCCCCTTAATTTAAAACGTAAGTGGTCTAGTTGAGACGGTATAGCAACCTTAAAAATTCCTAAATTCCACAACTAGTGTGCAAGTACCTAAAAATAAATAGTCAAAGCGTCCGTCAATTCCTTGTAGCCATTAATTTCATTTCAAATTAAGTACTGCGAGTTGTGAATATCATATCACGCCATGGTTTTCGAGTGTTCAAAGCTTAACAAACTCATTATGATTTTTTACCGGTCTGTAGAATATCTCTTATTGAATACGTGCCTAATATACAGTATGATGGGAAAATTATTGCGTATATTCCTCCTTTTAACTCAATTGTGAATATTATTGTTTTTCAAACTAAATAAATAATTGTTATACCAGAATTTTGCTTCTTCCGGAATCAATATATTTCATTGAACTGGGTTGGATTGACCGCGGTCATTACAGAAGGCAGCAAACTTATTGTGACGCATTTAAATCACGGTAAGTGAGATAGACTATTATAGATTATTACTTAAAAATCATCTTAACAACAACTATGATCGTCCATAATATAGTAACAGCCTTTAATGTACCCTTACTTTGAGTTAAAAATAATTTCTATTACTTGCTGAGTCGGAAGCATTCAATATTTCTATGAGCGCAAGCGCAATAATCCGCGATATAGTCGCATTACTCCTCGCCCTCCTGGGGCTACGCATATCGTGTCATTTATAGAAGCATCTGTCTGTCTTCGTTATGTCCAGGAAAAAACGAAGAGCTGGACTGAATGAACAAGAGCCTTTCAGCAGGGATCAAATGGACAAAAAAAACACTATCAACAAAGAGGTTATCATAATACTAAGACCGCTTCCACTTAATGATTTTGTATAAGCTTTAAGCTCAATTGAAATTCAAATCTTAATTGTCAAATCAAAGTTATTGCAAGTAAGTAAAGTGAAAATAGGGCTTCCGCTATACAAGATAAATATAAAATCTAAATTATATATACATATTATCCCAAGATTTTTGTCGTTAAAGTCCGAATTATAATAGGCCATAATTGACATTCAGCTGGTGACAAGCTGTGTCATCTTTTGCAATTTTTTCGAGCGTCCGAACATAACCTCGTCTCGAACTGGAAGGATGGGGTGAGATAAAATATGAATTTGGAGTCTCAAATCGAACGATGTCATTTATTGTAAAATATTTGAGATTTTCGGTCTAACTTCCATTCACGGCTTCGAAAATAGAAGCGATTTGGCTTCTTTAGTTGATACCTCCTGTTGAGGGGCCAATAATTGGCAGCTGTAAAGACAGTTGCTTGAGGGTTCGAGTATCGAGTGGAGTGGCAAAAGATTAAGACCAACAATGACGGCTACTCTAACAAAGGCGGCTCGACAAAAGAGGGATCAGAGAAGCCAACGAGCTATCAGGGGCTCCAGTGGTTTGCTGACAGAGATAATGAGGTCGGGACTTTTATTGAGAGCCGACCTGGTGGAAGACACGGCAAAAATTTTAAGGACATTATGTTATTATTAACTTTTACTTGGCCGTAAACATTCCTGTTTTAGAAATAGAAATATGTAAATACCACATGTAACTTGGCATTGTACCGATAACGTTTTCAGTGCTTGAAAATCTTCAGCAAAAAAAGCATTGAGGCAATATGAATTAAAAAATAAATCTTATGTACGCTGGATGTTATCTCTGTCATAACTAATATGCTTCCTTAGGGTTTTCCATTAAATTTTCATCGCCGCTCCAAGTCTCCTGGGTGACACTAAAACAGAATCTGTGATTCCCAGTGGAGGGCGAAAGAAATGCTATCGTTGTAGCAGGCGTCGAATCAGCGACGACGGCAGTAATCCGAAGAAGGGGAGTCCACACCCGGCAAGAGAGGGGAACTTAGGAACTCCCACTCCTCCTGGCTGTCAGGAGTAGGAGACGGAGAACCAGGAGAGCTGTTGGAAGAGGGAGAACCAGGTTGGCTATCGGGAGAAGGAGAGGGAGAACCAGGCTGGCTGTCGGGAGATGGAGAGGGAGAACCAGGATGACTGTCGGGAGAAGGAGATGGAGAACCAGGCTGGCTGTCGGGAGGAGATGTAGAACCAGGCTGACTGTCGGGAGGAGAAAAAGAACCAGGCTGGCTGTCGGGAGAAGGAGAGGGAGAACCAGGCTGACTGTCGGGAGAAGGAGAGGGAGAACCAGGCTGACTGTCGGGAGAAGGAGAGGGAGAACCAGGCTGGCTGTTGGGAGAAGGAGTGGGAGAACCAGGCTGACTGTCGGGAGGAGAAAAAGAACCAGGCTGGCTGTCGGGAGAAGGAGAGGGAGAACCAGGTTGGCTGTTGGGAGAAGGAGATGAAGAACCAGGCTGGCTGTCGGGAGGAGAAAGAGAACCAGGCTGGCTGTCGGGAGAATGAGAGGGAGAACCAGGCTGGCTGTCGGGAGAAGGAGAGGGAGTAGCGGCATCGCTGTCAGGAGTAGAAGTGGAAAATCTGGTTTGCTGTCGAGGTAACTGACGGAACAAGGAAGCTGTCACAATGTAGATAGGGAAAGGGAATACTAACATACAAATAAGTATTAATTAAGTGAGTGAGGATTAGAAAATGTTTTGGAAGAAAAAAACGAATACAAGGGCTAAAAACTATGCGGAAATGCGAGTCTAAAACAACGCGAATCTAAAAAAATCCGAAATTGACCTCACTGTGAAGAAAAATATTCATTAGGCTAAATGTGTCTTCAATCTCTGCTTTATTTGCGCATGAAATTCCATTTTCTAAAACTTAAAACTTAAATTTTCTTGATTTTTATGCAATCACTAAGATATGCTCTGGTCTTCTTCGTTCACTAGTGAAGTGTGAGAAAAAAGAATGTTGATTCCATTCGGTTTGTAAATGACAGGCTTGCAGGAGGCGGTGTTGGCAATGGGATCTGTACAAGAGGGATTGTGAGGGCTTATAGGTGAGGGAGTGTGTCGTTATTTACCCTCATCGAGGGTCCCCGAATCGTTATTTGCCTTCACTGACACGACTGCTGTGTCATGGCTAAACTGATGACCTGGACCCCAGTGAGACACTAAAACGTAATTATTTCAGAACACATGCAAAAAAATCGCTACAAGACGGGAAGATGCCAACAAACAAATTAAGTTTCTATGAATAAGCTATCTGGAAATTCGAATTTAATACAGAAATAACTAATAAAAACATCATAAATAATTTAAAAATAAAATATAGCTTAAAAATACACGCACCTCGTAATATTAAACGTTCTTGCTTGCCATATAAGAAAAGATATATACTATGGTAAAATCATTAGTTTATCGTAATCATTCAATATGATCATCAAATTTTATTTTTTGGTTAATACTGTAGCTGTTTCAACTTTTGAATCTCGGAATATTTAATTAATAAGATCTCAACAACTCTCGTAAAATAAGCAATTTATATGTCTTTAAACGGAGTTACTTAATTTTTTTCGCATTTCAGAAAATGAAAATTCCTATTGAGGTATCACAAAGAGATTTATTAAATTTACTAATATTTGTTCTAATGTTTTCACTGAATCCTAAACTAAGATTGCAAAGATATTTTATATTTCATGACATATGTTGTAAAAGTCGTCATGAATTGATATCAAGCATTTTGTAAAATGTTTTTTGACGTGAATTCGTTGAAAGCCTATTATGAAGCAAATTATATTTAGCGTTGATATGCGAATACATTTTATGAAAATCTTAAGTCATAAGCTATAATATTTCACTTTTTATATATAAGAGGAACGATTGGAGATCTCCCTTCAATTTGTTAAGGGAGATTAGAATCGTGAACGGGAGATAAGGGTACCGCCACGTGACTCTTCAAACCGCGGGTCGTTGCCGGGATTTGGCAGCTCGTATTTCATCAAATCTCAATTTTTATTTTATGCGGTGTTCAGCCATGCATAAAGTAGCGATAGCGAAAGTATGTGATATAACTTTCACATGTACGCACGACTATAAAAAATATAACTCAGTAGTACTCACTGCAGTGGGTGACAGAGAGCGCATTTTCTCGTCGACGAAAACTTGAGGTCACGGACGGACGGACAGACGGACGGACAGACAGACAGACGGACATGGCGAGCACAATAGTGCATTTTTCCCATAAATGAGAAAATGCGCTAAAAATGATGCCATGCTAAGACATCGAACACTTTAAGGAACAAACTATTTCACACGAGGCTCTTAACACGAGGCTTAGATGTTAAAACAAGTATTGTGAAAATGTCATTTCGATTATTTTCGAAGCTACATTTATTTAATCAATGCTGCTATAATCTATGTTGAAACTTGTAATACAATAGAACGAGACCAACAAATTTGAAATAAGAAGAAAGCATTGCCAAGCTGTTCTGCATGCTGTGTATGATGTTCTACACCTATATTATAGTTTTCTTCTTAAGTACCGCGAATGGAACGATGTAAATTTCCAGCACATATAAAAATTGCACTTGTCAGAAGACATACATATCAACCAGTATTGCTGTATCCATTTCACTAACGTCGCTCAGAGCCATAAGCCATCTCATGCCTCGTGCAAGTCTTCGCGTTGCTTCCGTACACAAATCTAAATGAGAACAACTTTGAAAGTTCCTATCTACGGCCACTTTGATGCTCTCGGTAGTGCCTTTGATCCTACAACAGCTGGCAAACTCTGCCGCAGTCTCGTTGTAGGTTTTGGCTTCCTTTTCCCTTAATGTTGTGAGACTTCACTGCTCTTTGTCTGCCAACCTTCTACCAACAGTTGATTTCATTTCCAATTCTTCTCCTGATATATGTTTCTGAAACCTATAAAAAGATATGTGTTGCTGAAAATAGGCATAAATAATAGTAGTCTTCGCAGAGATCAAAAGAAAGCAATTAACATGTAATATATGAAGCATATTTTTTGATAAATTCTCGATATAATATTTTGATTATCTCTGCAAGAATTTTACAAGGTCAATCGGCATTTTTACTTGCAAATATCTTAATTTTTTTAAAGTATCACAAGTTATCTGTCCTTATATCTTGACAGGATTCCCAGGAAAAGATGAGGTGAGGCGAATATATTTCTTTCAATAAATTACAAAATTGGGAAAAAGTTGAGTTAGAACTCATAACTATGAGCAATTATAAATAACTGTTTGTGGAATGTTAGGACTTTCTTGGTTTTCTTGAGCAATGAAATCGCATAAATTAATCAAAGATTAGCAAAAATGCTAATTAATAACAATATAAAAATGATAATCGAAAATTATGTGAAATAATGATTCTCACATTAAATTTTCGATTTGCCGAGATCATAAATCTTATTTATTCAACTTCAAGTCAACACCACGCCATCACCCGATTTTTGCCACTCGCTTAAAAAAGAAAACTAGTCTAAAAAATGAAGCCTCCTTGCAATCTCCCTTTCCATGGCGGGGCAAGTAAATCGATCTCGCATGTTAGTGACACGTCTGCAGAGTTACCCTAGATTTGTAGCTCGACTACCCCATATCTGCTCCGGAGATCCCTTCTCCAGCGTTTGCCAGGATTTACGTTAAGCATTTGTGTCCACTTCCAATCTTGTTTATGGAGCATTTAATTCTAATGGTTTGACCATCGCACAAGAAACACAGATTTTCAGCGTCTCTTTTAATCTTAGTCTTGACTGAAGAAGCTCTGACCTGTTCTGATTCAAGAGCATGGATGAATTAATGAATGCAATTATTCAATAAAACACTCAGAAGTGCTCACATAAATCAAATGAGTTCGTCTTATCGTAGATTGAAGATAATACGATATTCAAATCTTGGGTTATGTGTCCGTTGACTTTAGCAAGTTCTACAGGCCAAATATCTGTATATTATCACGAGCCTTCAAGCCTATTTTCAAGCCACAAAGCTTGCATTTATAAACCTCAGCTGTGGAAGTTTGTAGTCATATTATGGAATAAATTAATTTAAAATATATAACTTTTGAACAGGACTGCCTTTCGAATAGTGCATGCTCATGGTTGCCAACCCCACCCTCGAATCCCCTGCTTCACGACTAGTTTTTGCCTTAATTAGTGTGGTTTCCACTTTGGGAAAATAAATTTGAAATTTAGCCTAAATTGACGGTTTGGTTGTCCATAACGGATTGGCTGTTAATAATTTTCAATTATCTGATAGGGAACAATAATTAGAAACGGATGCAATTTTTTCGAATCCGTTTTTTAATTTCAAAATGAAGAAGTTCACTCACATTTCATCATAGAGAATATTGTTAACTACTCAATTACTTTGTATGCCATTTTTGATATATGTTCATCAGAATAAAAATTAATTCACTGACCAAACGTAGCCAAATATTCCAGACGTGAGGCAATCATGGATTTATGACTAGCACTCCTATGTGGCCCGGATTCCAATAGAGATACACACCAAATATACACATGTGCCTGCCAATCCTACGTCCCCAGCTCCTGCGCTCCCGAAGGACGCGGCTGAGCCCCTGTTATTGCCGACGATGCGACGGGCGCTTCTCTGCTATGCAAAGCGTCATCTGTCGTACGACGCTAGCGCTCGTCGCTGCGATCTACCGCCATATCTTTGATGCCGGTGTCGAAAAGAAGTGCGCATGAAGGCGTCCTCGCGTGGATTTCTTTCATGGAGAATCCTCATGGACGGAAATGCAGGAAAGAAATGCGTTCCTTGGGGTATTGCGTGTATTTCTTTCCTATGTAATGCGCATGGAACTACAGGAAATAAACACAGTAATTGGTGGAGGAATCAACATAATCTGCATAATAGAATATTAATAGAATGTCCAAGAAATGTTCTCGCTTAGATTTAAAGCGTCTCACGTTGATTTCGGGACAAATAAAGAAACTTTTTTTGGTCTCTGTATAGAACCCTGTATGAACAACAGATAATCTCAAGTTACACAAATACAAGTACATAGAAAAAGATTATAATTATTATAAATAAGTTCATCTATTTAACAGAGCAATTACTATGCGATTACAGAGGCAACACTTGGTACTTACTCTAATAAGAGGTTCCGATGAATGAATCTAAATACCAAAAGTTGGAATTAAGTTAACTACTGCTGTTGTATTCATCGAGGTGACGTTCATAAATAAAGAAAATCTTATTTTTACAATTTAAATCTAATTCTAAATTTCTAAATATTTTATTACATCAATTCAAAATCCTGAACGAGACCGCTACAGATTCCTTGCATGGAAGGAGCGCGCATGGAAGGTGGTGCAGCACAAAATTACTGCCTATGATTTGGTATCGGCTTTACCTGCTACATAAGATTTACTATATCACTCAAAATCTGATAATTTAGAATAAAACATTTTCAAATTTTCATCTTCTTGAAAATAAAAATTGAATAGTAAGTCACTGAGTTGAGTGAATCGTTGAGATCTCAATAACTTTTGTTCAGACAGAATTTTTTTTGCTTTCGGTCCCGCTCGCAAAAGGAATGCATTTAAAGAATTTAGTTGATGTCAGAGATGACAAGAAAAGCGATATAAATTCCGTGCCTCAAAATAGTCAGCGTCAATATTACAATATTGCAGCCTAAAATTTTTCTTGGTCTTAAAAAAAAAGAAAACGATACAAGCGCTTGAGAGTAGTTTTACTGTCGAAAAAATATGGCTGAGTAAATTTTTATATATTGGTAATTATCTTTATGATTCCACAATAGAGAAAGAGATGGATGGAAAGTTAATAATTAAATTTTTAGTTTAATAAAAGTTCACTCGAGATTCTGTTAGCCGCCCAATTTCCGATAAATTTGAGAGTTTTTTGAACATGCAAACTGAGTTTCGCCGCAGGACATAAATGGATTCTTGTGTGGTTTGTTGGAATATAATCCCGACCAACTCATAAAATTCGCCACAGGAGAAATATTTATTCGAATTCAAGATGCATTAATAATTAGTTTCATAAAAATATTTTTAATTATTCATGCGAATAGAGTAAATAAAAAATTTTCGGCATGATCTTTTATCTTTTCAAGCTAATTACATATAAGTACGGCA